AAGTTCACTGTCTGTATTGACAGTTTTAAGTATTAACTACATAAAATTAAATCTTAGTTAATTAAAGGTGAAAGTTCACTGTCTGTATTGACAGTTTTAAGTATTAACTACATAAAATTAAATCTTAGTTAATTAAAGGTGAAAGTTCACTGTCTGTATTGACAGTTTTTAAGTATTAACTACATAAAATTAAATCCTAGTTAACAACAAAAACAATCACTGCACTCACTCATAATATTTAGAGTAGCACTATCAAAATTACCTAGTCTATTGTAAAGGGACGAGTTTTTAGTAATGTTTTTAATGAACTTAAAACAAGAATTGTTGTATGAAATTCAGGAAAGTAGCAGTATAAACCATAAATGTATGTGTTATTGTCATGAGATGACTCGCATGTTAACAGTCACTCCAAATTTAACAAAGTTTGTCACTTTCTACAGTAACTAGTTAACATGTGAGACTATTGTTTGAGAGAGATTTCAAGTAAATGAATAAAACTACAAACTTCATATTATGTATTTTTGTGGTGAGAGGACATGAACCATGAATCCTTGGAATTGCACATAATTTCATATCTATTAGTAGTAGTAAATAAACTTAGTATTCTAAAAAACGTTTAATTTCGAAGTTTAAGTTCAAGGGAGGTCCAGTTCAATCTACACTCGGATCAATGTGTGTTATTGGGTTATTCTGGTTTTGGAGTATTCCACTCCTCATCAGTAACCCTGAACACAAGTTAACCAAAGAGAGATAAGCTGGACCTATATCATTGTGAAAAGTATCAAACATACTGTTGGTATAAATGTGCTTTGTGTTCACTCTGAGGAAAACCTATCGAGTATATAGGTTTTCTTGAGCTTGAATACAAAGCATGTTCGTATCAACAGTATGTTTGATCTGTTAAGAGTCCCACTTTAGTTAGTTCATTTACTATGTAGACTGGATCGAGTGCAAAAAGATCAGCTGTTTTCTTTCGATATTCGTTTTGTTAAGTGTGAGGTTATTGAAAAGCATTACATCTTATTTGAAAGTAAAAACATTACAAAGATTACCTCCAAAACATTCCTTCCATGCTTGTCCAAGTAGACGATCCACACTAGAACTTCTATGCAATGTCCATGATCCATACACAGACTTTGTATCTTCCGATCTTTGATCGGCGATGATTGCAGGCACAGCACCATCCTTTCCTCTTTGTGTTAACTGTTGTGATAGTGAAACATAAGGTAGACCAAGCGAAGGAACTAGAGGGCCAAACGAATAGAAAAAGTTTGAATGATTAGCCGTATCTACGACAAACAAGGTATAAGAAATATAAAACTGGAAAGAACCGCTACAACACAAAGTACTTGGCTAGCTTCAACGACTTTCAGCTGTTTGTCTGTTTTTTACTTTTAATAATTCTTCAGAATGGAATTCCGTTGCTTGGTAAAATCTTCTCAAAGTACTGGCACCAAAATCAAGATGCATCTTGAATTCTGAAACTCAAGTGTTTTAAAACTTTAAAAATTAATAAATAAAATCATTAATGGATCTAACAAAAACAATAAATATGGTTGTATATTTCAAACATTAGAATGACATGCTTTGGACCTAATAGCTACAATAAGTACAATTGGATTCTTAACTCGTTACCTTTAAGATATTGCTGTTGTTAGGTCCACACCATGTAAGAATAGTGTATGAACTATTCAGATATTGCTGTTGTTAGGTCCACACCATGACTGATCCTTTAAATGCCCCTGTTTTTGAACATTACTAGAAGTAAAGTTTTACTGATCCTTTAAATGCCCCTGTTTTTGAACGTTGCCAGAAGTAAAAATGCTAGTTTTAAATAAAAGAAGGTACTCAAATTGTTTTAATTCAAGCAACTTAATGTATTCAAACTGTTTTAATCCAAGAATAAAAAAAGTGTAAAATATCATCAGGTTTCTCTTTCAGGTTAGTACGTGTAGCATCCAGTTGTTGATATTGTTGCTTTTAGATCCACAACTCTCAAGTTAGGTTGGTATGTGAAGTAACCAGATTGAAAAACTTTACTTCTAGTAATGTTCAAAAACAGGGGCATTTAAAGGATCAGTAAAACTTTACTTCTAGTAATGTTCAAAAACAGGGGCATTTAAAGGATCAGTAAAACTTTACTTCTAGTAATGTTCAAAAACAGGGACATTTAAAGGATCAGTAAAACTTTACTTCTAGTAATGTTCAAAAACAGGGGCATTTAAAAGGATCAGTAAAACTTTACTTCTAGTAATGTTCAAAAACAGGGGCATTTAAAGGATCAGTAAAACTTTACTTCTCATCATCATCATAGACAGCAGTACATCGATAATTCTACCGATGCTTAGCTGCCACAGAATCATGAATTATTATTAC